CCCTGGCGCGTCGGCAGCGGGCGCCGGTGGCGTTCGGCGGGCCCCGCCGCCGTCCCGCCGCCATGGGGCCGCTGCTGTGGCTGCTGCTGGTGCCCCTGGGCGCGGGCTCCCCGGCGTACGAGGTGTACGTGGATGCCCGGCGGGCCGAGCGGCCCCTGCAGCACTTTTGGAGGAGCACTGGCTTCTGGTAAGCGCGCACGGCCTGGCCCCGGGCCCCTCCGCCGGGGCTCTCGCCTCGGCTACCTCCCGCCCTCTCGATCCGGGGCGTGCGGAGTCTGCCTTCCAGGAGGAACCGAGGCTCTCCCGAGCCAGCCGCTGTGGGATCGGGGGGCCTTGCTGCCCCTCGCTGCTCAGCTTCTGCTGCATTAGCTCCACCAGTGCAGAGCAGAATGTGGGATGTGGCCAGTTAGTGTGATCTGGCCAAAAAAATAGGCCCGGGCGACATTCCCTCGCCGAGTTGCTTCATTGCCCCCTCGAACACGCGAAGGCCTTCCTTCTCCCCCAGCGCAGCGCATATGTTGATACTCTGAACTCATTTCCTTTACTTTTCAGTGTTTCTATTGCCACGGCCTCTAAATAGGCCCAGGCAAAGCTTCTGATAGTTCTGGGACTATCAGACAAAAGACTGTTATTTCTAGGAGTTTGTTCCTCTTGACAAGCTCCTTTCCACGTGCACCATCTTCCTGATGTGGCTGGTGAGTCCGGTTGCCCTAAGTCAGGGGGATGGCTGGGACTATGAAAAAAATGTTATCTCCACGACCCTGTATTCTGGTAGTGATTTGATTCTGGGAGAAAGCCCAGTCTTACTGGGCTAACTGGTTTAGGGTTAGCCTTCAAGTTTTGTCAGATACATGTAGGCTTCTAGCAGGCTTGAAAGCAAGAGAAGGTACATTCCGCTGCCATGCTTGTATTTTACTCTAAACGGATTATGACCTCAGTTTAGGCATACAGTGGATTAAATAACACATGTATGGAAAAGAGTTGCAGTAAGGATGGAATCAGCAGCATGTGCTTTGGAAAAAGGAATTTGTGTTCTTTTTCTTTTTGTATAAAGCGTAAAGGTACCCCAAGTCAAAAGTTGCAACTTTTTTTTTTAATTTTCTATGTTGTTGGGAAAACAGAACAGGACCTAAAATACATTCTGATTAAGAGAGATGTTTGAGTTTTCTGGATTTTTTTTTTTGCTTTTTTTGTTTCATTTTTTTGTTTTAATTTTTGCTTGCAATGTTAGGAAACATTAATGAAAACCTGCCTTAAAAATAGTATGTTTAGCTCATTTAAACTGCACCCGCGATTTTAGTTGTGTGAAAACCTTTGGAAAGCTGCAAGCGTGACAGGCATGTGAGGGAAAGGCAGAGGGGCAGCAGCAGAGGCTCTCCATGGGTCAGCAGCTATTCAGTTATAACACTTGGCCAACAGTGAAAGCTCACACAGTGGCACAACTGGGTTCCAGCTGTTAAAACTTCTTTTCTGTATCACAGTTTCAGACAGCTGGACAAGGGCACAGCTGTGGATCAGCAGCTGGATAAAGCCTGGCAGCAGGGCTTGAGGTTCTCTTGGATGGGCACTTTGCACTCAGAACAGGAAAGGACAGATACTGATATCACCACTAACAAAACCTACTATTCTGTTAGCTCTCTTTTGTGTCTCGTCATGGTTTCTGCTCGATTTCTCTCTAGCAGAGTCCGAATTTCAGAGTGTTTATTCAGCATGGACTAAGCAAAAATATGTGAATGCTCTGTGCCTTGACTTTCCAACTTTGCCACTGTTGAACTGAAGCCAGTTTGAATTTCAGAGTAGTAGTAGAACACTCCTTCATAATCTGGTATTTAACACTGTTGTCATCCACTGGAACAATTAAAAGTACCCAAATGGCTGATAGATTTTTAGTAAGAGTAGAGCCAGTGACTTCTCAGTCTCCCTTGTGTGACTTGAAGCATAGGAACCTTGAGCCACGTATTCCTGTGCTTCCTTATGCTTAGGGCTGAGTTGAACATGGCTGAAGAATATGAAGGCTCTGAGCATCTAATTCTGCTTCTAACAACTGTAGCTTCCACAGCAGAGCATGAATTGATGTCATTGCATGAACTTCAGCGGGAAGGTCAAGCCCATATTTTTCATACTACAGACGTCAGCATGTCTGACTTCCATTCCAGAGCCTAAGAGACACTGAGCTCCCTTATCATTAGGTACTCAAACAGGGTGACTGCCACTGTATGGTTTCCTAGGGCCACTACTGCCTGAGGTTGCTGTCTGTGCAGTAATGACTGCCTGTAACGCTTTCCTGCGAGCGTGCCAATGAGATACACCCAAGTTGTGTTCCACTTTGGCAAATCCCATGTATAGCCAGTTAGCCCCAAATAACCTGCAACTGCGTTTTGCTTTCACCTCATGTCAGACAGTGCTCCTCATGCTGAGTGGGATCTTGCAGTTGGTGTAGGGACTTAGCATAGGCACTTTTGCATACCCAGTGGTGCTGTTATTTAATGTTGCAATGTGTTGTTTCTTTTCTGTCCCTCTTTTCCTGAAGCCCTCCTTTGCCTCACAGCCGTGCTGACCTGTTTGACCTGAGCAAAGACCAAGAGCTGAACCTTGCCTACATTTCTTCTGTTCCACATGGTGGCATTGAACAAGTTCGAATTCACTGGTTGCTGGAATTAGTTGCTCTTAGGTAAGCAAACACCTCAAGTCAAAGTCTAGGAAAACTTAAATTAAAAGGTCCAACAGATGCTCACTTTGATATTTATCTTTGTCTGCTTGCAAGCTGGGCGTGTCTTTGCTTCCTTGGAAGTCAGTTATGTTCCAACAGATGGGAATTATTTTGAGGTTTTAAGAGATTGAGAAAGAGGGAGCTTCTGTTGAGAAGCTGAAGGACTAGAAAGATGGCTTACTTTTTAGTCCTTTAATTTAGGAGACATGATACAGCAAAAAAAAATCCCATGAAGATTGATACAAGCCTGATTTATTGAGAGGTCCAAATGAAAACTGCCACTATTTTTCTACTATTTCTATCTTCCTTCTACCTAACTTGGAATTTACTTTTTGCATCCTGAGCCCACCTGTGCACTGCATCAGTTGACAGGTAGTGACAACTAAAATGGTGAATTCGGGTAATACCAGTTAATACCCTCTTCCAAAAGGATTCATATACAGATAACATTTCTAGTTCTAGGGAAATACATGTCAGATTTTGGGAGGACAACGTTGGAATTCGTTGCCTTTCAAGTCCCATTTGAACTCAGTTTAAATGCACTCATACCAATATGCCCAGTGGAAATAACCAAATACAGATGCCTAGAGCAGGGTCTGTGAGGGAAGACAAAATATAAAAACCCCATCAAAAATTGTAATAGCTCTTAAAGTTTTGCCTGGCTCAGACTGTTGCTGAGCTGAGCATGTTTACAATCCCCATTACTGTGGCATGTGCCACCCCGATGCAGGACAATGGGAATTTATCATTTTTGGGAAGCAACAAGGGGAAGGAGAGGAAACAAGGGGAAGCAACTGTGGAAAAGGCATGTGAGCAAAAAGAGTTGCATGTTTCAAAGTGTGTATTAGGAACAGAAGTTTTCTTCCTTGTTATTAGGGTGTGCTTGTGTATGTAGATTTTTTGGGAAGGTGATGAGAAGCCCTGCACGCAGGTAAGTATTGTATCTGTAGCCCAGAGTGGCCTCTGTATGTTAGTCCATCTGTGAATATAGCAGGTAACAGAGCTCCTTGCACTCATCTTTCCCTGTGGAAGTTTCCAGTGAACACCCTTTCCTCTACTGTCTTGCCCTCTCTGATTGGACTGTGGGATTTGTACTCTTGCAGTGATCCAGGGCAAGGGCAACTACCAGTGCTCACCACTGCTGGGGTCCCTGTCTTGGATCTCAGAAGTTTCTCCTGAGAGATGGCTTGGGTCTTTCAGGTTTCTGTAACCATCTGACTTAGGAAAAACCTGTGAGTACCTTTGAAAAGAAAGTAGCCACATCTAAAGTCAGAGCCCAGAATCCCTCCTGGCAGCCTGTCTTAGTTGTGCCATGTGTTGAATTGGGCTTTCCAAATGAGGGAAAGGAATGCATCTGTCATGGATTCTGCTCAGCCTTTTTAGGAAGTGAGGCACTGAGTCTTTCAAAGTGGGGTACAATCCTTCACACAATTAGAATTCTAGGAGTATGGAAGCTTAGCAGTCAATCAGGAAGTCCCCAGCAAAGCTGTGGTGCCTCAAGGGTAGGATTCTAATCCACTATCCGTGATATTTAGCCCAACCTTGACATGTGGTAATTAGAAACTTTGCTACTGTTTAGAACCAGGCTTAAAACTCTTCATTTTGCAAAAAATTGTGCATTTGTCAAAGGCAAGGAGACATTTGAGTTGTGGAAGGACAACCAGTGGTCTGAGTGTCAGCAGTGATTTGGAAGGGGAGAGAGCATGGAGTGTGCAGACAAACATTGGAGTTGAAAAAAGCAATGGGCAGGAATGCAAGTAGGAGAAGGAGAGATCCAGTCCTGACGCTGAATTTTGCACCTGTGCGCTGAATTTTGCACCTTGCGCCTGAACCAGTGGTTTCCAGAAAGATGTAGAGGTTTTGAGTGAGAAATCTCCAGCAGTAGAACTGTATTATGTCATGGGGTCAGTGAGTAGAGAAGACTTCATGGAATGTGAAAATGGGCGCTTGACTGAAGAGGAACACTTAGAGAGAACAGAAGACTAGGAGGTACCACCTCTGTGGAGTCCGAACAGATAGAGGCTTTGCTTTTCCTCACAATTGTGTCATCATCAGAAAGGGGTCATAAATGTTTCTGCCAAGAAGCAGATGTGCTCAAATAAAAGACTGCCTCCTTCCCCTTCTCACTTCTGTAGTGGTCTTTCTCATTATATCTTCTAATCCCCCAATGCCAAGTGCATCCCTTCATTTTAACCATTTTCTAGTACAGGAAGCCCACCTCTTTATCTTTTTCTTTATTCTGAGTTAGCCCATTGTTTCACCACCTGTGAAAGGATACCATAAGACAAACTGTTTTCAAACAACTGCTAGTTTTATTTTCCAGCCAAAAGCACACACTTGTCTCTTGGTCTTGTGGCATAGAAGTATTCATGATTATCGGGGAACCCAAGATGTTTTTCAGGGACTGGACAGTTCCCAGATTGTTAGTTACCAATGCCAGTAAACAGAGCTGTTTTGACACCTAAACCACACATTCTTGCCATGCCACACTAGTCAACATGACAGATTGAGCTGAAGATTCCCAGCTCTTTGCCCAGCTCTAAGGGACACAAACAGTCCACAAGTTAAGAACCCTTTTCCGTTCTTATGTAGCAGTACTAAAATCTGTTTGATACACGATACATGATAAATCACAAGGCATCACAGTGAACAAAAATACAGTCATTCTATATGAAGCATATAACATTTCCTAAAAGGCATATAACAATCTTTATTTCAACAGTATTAATGTTAACATAGTCAGAATTACAAGACCATCCCCAGCTCCTCTGCAAGTCACCATACTTAATCTCTGGTAGACTAGGAGAGAAGAGAATCAGCAGTTTTTGTTAAATTTCAGTCTTTGTGTCCTTCATCTTGGTATAACACAGTATAGCAAACATAAATGTACTAGCAAAAGGTTTGCTTTTTTGATTAACTTTTACATACTCCTTAGAAATAATTCTCCCAACATCCCTACAGCATAGCACTGAAGTTATTTCCCTGCTGTGTTTGACATTGTCCAACACAGCTTGATTGTGAGCCAGTTCTGCCAGTAAACCCAAACCAGAAAATTGTTTCTATGGTTTCTTCTGATCAGTAGTTTCTTTCTTTGCAGTAAAAGTCATAAAGCTTCCTCTCTCTTACGTGTAGCCAAGTTTCTTAGCTTAGGTATCCTTTGGTACCATGCCTACAATAAATATGATGAAAAAGAGACTTCTGACTCTTAATTTCTCAGCCTCTCTTCGTTTTTCTCTGGAGACTGTTGCAAGGATACACCTTCCATTAGAACCTCTTTTTTTTCTCTTTTAAAATGAGATTAATCTAGAGTTAAGGGTATTTTTTGCATTTTTTTTCTTTATGTTCTGGATTGGTGGATTGATCCATAAAGCTAAAAAATGTCTGGATTGCTAGGATGTTTTATTTGACTTCCAACGACAGCTTGTTTTGGCATAGCAGTCTAAGAGTGTCTGTGTTGATACTTTGTGGTATTAACTCCTCATGCTTGCCGCAAGCAGGACCTTAAAAGAGGTATTTCCTGATCAAAGACTGGTTACACAAAGCAATATTTTTTCCTTGGGCTCTGCTCATTTCTTTTTAGAACAGAAAAGCTAGGCATACCAAGTCAGCAGTTTAAATAATAATGTAAGTGAATTGTTTGATGGCACGAAAATGCTGCCAATGATCAGTCCTTTAATCTTGTGACATTTCTGGCAGGTTTTACTGCTCTGGCCTTCTTAACAGTAATGAGTTCATGAAAATGTCAGTATTGAATCAGCTAATACTGTGCTATTCTCAATCCCTGTGAAGACATTTTTTATTTTTTTGGAATTTATTTTTTATCTTTTGGTAATGCACTACTTTTCCTTTAACAAAATACTTGTTCTTGAGAACCAGACAGTACCTGGGGCACCTGGAGGGCCTCAGTTTGAGTGTTCTTTCTTTCAGAGATCTAAAAAGTTGAAACAAGCAAGTCACATGTTGTGTTGGCCTGACTTCTTTTTTTTTTTTTTTAAATGTCACAGCAAAGAAGTGGCTTCTGCATACTTGGAAGCTCTGTTTCTAGAGCTTCTACGTGGACTCTGTTTCTAGAGTCTGCTAATTGTAAGAGGCACAGCTGTGATAGAATTTCCTTCTGTGCTTGGTGCTGTATGAACCAGCCATGATTAATGAGAGAGACAGGGCAGCTTTCCTACCTTTTGTGCAGGTAATTATAAACTTGAGTGGAGGATATTCTGCCTATGCCATGAGCCAGAACACTGTGTACTAACTGTGCTAAAATCAAAATCCGAAGCTATGCTTATTTGTAATAAAAAGAATATGCATATATAACAAAACAACTGACACTGGCAGTATCATACGACATAAAGCACAATGAACAGCAGTTAAGGTAAATTATTATAGAAGGTGACTAGACCTGGAAAAGATGGTCTAGTGGACCTCAAATCAAAGACTAGTATGATAGGAGAAAAAAAACCAAAACAGAACAAACAAAACCCCACAACATCTGTAGTATGTACAAACAGTGGTGGAATTTTTCCAACATACGAGGATCACAAGTTACAAAGCGTTGCTCCCTTTACTTGGCCCAGGTATGTTACTTGTAATACTTCATTAGCATTGCATCAGAGAAGACCAGCCAGGCAGTTCTGACTGACCTATCAATCCCCTTGTAGGCAACTCACAGATTTACCTTCCCACCCTACCCTATTTGCTCCTGTTTTTCTTTGAACCCAGGCAGGCATTTGTAGGAAGAAGGTGATGTACTGCATCACGGTTCTGAGGTTTTATGTTTGGTGATGCTTATGTATCCCTGAATTAGAGTTGCATCTGCCCACCAGAGGCAACTTATTTTTACAGGACGGTGGTACAGCTACCTGGGTAGTTGTGTGACTGGCAGTTAAAGCCATTCGTTTTCCCTAATCCTGTTTATCCTCTTACTAGTTACAAAATCTTGCGTCAAGCATATTTCTTCTGGCATCATTAGGGGTATCACAGCCTTCAGTAACTAATTACCACAGATTTAAGCCAATAAAACAGCCGACTCCAGCAGCAATTTTTGGAAATGCTCGTTTTGAGAGGACCTGTGATGAATCACGATTTCTTCTCCTGTGGCAGGTTGTGTTATTAAGCCTGTGTAATCAAGGAGGAGAGACATGCTACATTCCACAATATTTTATACATTTTATTTGTGTGCAAACAGTGGGAGTTGTTTAGGAGCGCACCTGGAATGATGGAAGGGGCAGGGCCTTGCAAGCCAGAATTTAAACCATTGCGTGTCCAGGATGCTGGATTGATTGCATTTTCATGGGAATGGCTTAACTCTCTTAACACAAACCAGTCATTAAGCCCCTGGGAGAGCCAGGTGACACTGGGCTGACCATGAGCAAAAGAGTCTCATGACATACATGTTGGGTCATAAATGATCATGGTACAAGGGACAAGCCAATCCCAAAATTCCTTACTGCACATCACCTGCATTTTAAAGTGAAGGTGCAGGTGATAATCTGACCTGTTCCATACTTGTCCTGGACTGCATCCTCAGTGGCTGTTCTACATGGCATCTGACAAACAGTAGAGCTCTTCAGGGGAGAATGGCTTGTACACAGCCAGTAGTGTGTCTGATATTGCAAATTGCCCCACTTCATCTGTTGCTTTTGTGGTGAATTGTCAAGGAAGACATAGGGTTAAACTGAGCAATCTGCTGGAAGCTTTTGGTCTTTTGCAAACAGCACAGCATTATGTATACTGTAGAACAGCATTTCCTGCATGCTTCCAAAATCTCTTCCAAAGTAACCTCCTCTTTTCAGAGAGTCTATCACTGAGGGATTGCAGCAAGCCAGGAGAACAGAAATGTTTAAGTTCTTGTAGTCTTTCAGGATTTCCTTTAGGGTATTAACTCCAGTGGTGTCCAAAAATGAGATGGACGAGCAATCTACAACAAGGGCTTGGAAATCAATTTGCTTAGGAACTAGTTGCAAAGTGGTTTCTCCAGTGCCCAGTCCATTAGCAGTTCTGTGATTTCCCTTTTGCAGATGCTGCTTTTCCTTCTTCTCGTATTTCTTCCTTCTAGCAGCTTCTAGATTAGGATCTAAGTTGGTCAATCTGTACAGAGACTTTAGGAAGTAGTTTTTATTTGCATAGTAAAGTGGAGCCTCAAAACGAAATATTTTGACCTTTGGAACAGTAGTGAGATTTTCATATTCTAAGTCATCCTCATAAAAACCTGTGTCTTGGATCTGACCAAGCAGGGCTGTCCGTGGCCGCTGTGTCCGAACAACAATGCATAGCATGGAGAAAACAATGCCAACCAACAACCCTATTTCTGTGCTGACCAAGGCAGAGGCAGACATAGTAATGACCCAAACAAGCGTGTCCACCTTATTCACGTGGTACCGTGCTGGCACATCTCTGAACTTCCTCAGGGCTCCTCGGAGGCTGACAATAATGATACAAGCCAGGACACACTTCTGCAAGGAGTAGAAGAGAGGTGCCAGGAAGAGCAGCACCAGCAAAACCACCATTGCACTAATTACTCCAGAGACTTGAGTCTGGCAGCCTGTAGATGTTTTCACAAGGGTTTTTGCCAGAGCTGCACTGGTTGCAAAAGAGTGGAAGAAAGAAGGAATGATGTTGCAGAACCCCACAGCAAACATCTCCTGGTTGGCTCGGATGGTGTAAGCATATTTCTTTGCACACATTTCAGAAAGGGACACAGTGAAGACAAAACTGACTAGGGCAAGAGGCAAAGCATCTACAGCGACTCGGAGCATTAAGTTGAACTGTGGTACCTCTGGAGGAATAAATCCTGTTGGAATAGCTCCAGAAACACTGGATGCATAGACTTCATTTAACTTCCCGTAGTGTGACACCAGTGTTGCCACGACAATAACTACCAGCTCTGTGGGAAGAGGAAATTTCAGTTTATGCTTATACCGATCTCCCAGTTCCTTCGCAGTGACCAGCACCACGATACAAATGGCACTTGTGATGACATCACAAAGGTTGGCCTGAGAAATGTTCCGGAAAATGTTAATCCAGGTAATAACAAGCATCCCGTGCCCTTGGCTACGTGGAATTTTTATTCCAATCAAATATTTCACTTGAGCTGTTAAAATGGTTAAGGAAGCACCGGTTGCAAAGCCGTCTAGTACCGACTCAGATAGGTACATAGATACAAAACCCAGACGGAAGATCCCCATTAGAACCTGAGGAAACACAGAAAAACAAAAAAAAAATACATGAGCTGTAACTGTTGCTGCAAATAATTAAGCACAGATGGGAGAGAACTAGCTGGAGGCCGATAGCATTTGGCTATTTCAGTCTTAAAACAGGAATTATCCTTTGTTTTTTCCAGTCTGCTTTTAAAACATGTGATTCCCTTTACTGTTGTGGGACCTTACAAACCCAAGAGGTGAATGAGGAGTTTGAGGCAGGGTCAGTCAAACACTGGTCTGAGGTGACTCCACTGAAGTGGCTTGTCTGAATCTTGTTTCTTATGCAAAAGAGTAGTGGATCCAAAATGCTTCTGTTATACCAAAGCAAATTTTCTCTTTTTCTGTCTTAAAGTGAATAAAGTTAAAATGTACAGCCTTTGTGCTGTAAACAGAACTTGAATGACAACAAGTAAGATCCCTGCTTTAGGTGTTGTATTAAACAGCTTTTAATTTTAGCCTGGTGAACAGAAGGGAAAGTGGAGCACAGACAGCCTTTGTGGCATGCCTAAGGTCAGAAGTGGCAGAAGTGCTCACAGACTCTCCCATATCTCAAGATACTGTCCCTAATTAATTCCTTCTCCTTTCTTAGATGGCTATGAAAATATAGCTTCACAAGGGCATTTTTTTTGCTCATAAATGTGATCTGAAATTTCTTAGTAAACAGGGAGATAGCTAGCTTCTTCATATATATATATATATGTATATATACACAATTAATAGGTTAAGTACTAAGGCTGATACTTCCTTCTGTGTTCTCTTGATATCCTTGTGATGGGCGGTGTGTTGGCAAGTCTCAAAGAGTCCAGCACAGCCATTATCTGAAAAGTAGGCTAGTCAATCTATTTCTCCTCTTGTCCTTTCTGCTTTTGAATTATCTTTGCACAGCAGTTTGGTAGAACATAGCACCCCCTAGCAAAACACTGAGTCACACATTGTGAACCTGTAGAATGAGTATGTTTGCACCTTTGTTAAAATATCGAGGGAAACAGAATTACTTCTTCATTGTTGAAGTACACAGTTACCTGGAAATTTCCCTCATGATAAGACCTGTAGTGGGAGTCATGGTCCCGTGAAAGCAACAAGGCCAAAAGGCAGTAGAGTATCAAAACAACGTTATTGGTCTTGCAGAAGACTCTTGTTTTATCTGTGGTTGCTAGTAGCTAAGAAAAACTGCCTGTCTCATGCTTTCTCTGAGTTGCATACAGTTAGTCTTCCTGGAGAAAACAGTCCAAGGTACACGTACATTCAAGTGAACTGATACCGTATCTCTCACCAAAAGAGGGTCAAGCCAAAGCTTAGGTCATACAAAGAAGCTTTAGGAACTTCATACCTTGCCTCTGGATGGCAGCAACCACTTACCTGATACACTCCAGCCACAAATGTCAAGGCTGTAGCAATGCCGATAGCGTAGCATTCTTTCCCGCACTCAGCATTTATCCCCGCAATCGTAAGGTTGAAGGCAGTTGTGTTGGACAGGCTGTCATTCTGCAGAGAGCCATCACCCAAGGCTGGTGGGGCATCATCATTCAAGTCAAACCCAGCCAAGAGAAGTTCTCGGTCCACAACTTGTCCTACCATTAAGCTTATCAAGCTGAAAATGCCAACTGATACATGACGGGATGTGCCCATTAGGAAATAGATGATGTTGGCGAAGAATGATGTGTAAAGGCTATAAATGGGCTTCAGACCTGCCAGCAGTGAGTATGCAATTGCTTGAGGCACCAAAATGATCCCAATTACTAACCCAGACATAATATCCCCCCAAATGTATTCTTTGCACTGGTACTTGGGAAGCCATCGTAAAACAGGAAAGAAATCCATAACAAAGTTCTTCAGCTTCTGTGGGGTGCAGGAGCAGCTCTTTTTCAGCTTAGCTAGCATGACTTCTTTCCTATTAATCTTCACATGTGTCTTTCTTTCCATGATAAAGAAGGAAGAGGTGCTGTTTTCCATTCTGGTAGCCTCAAGTTGTCTTTCCATTGTCCCAGTTTACTTCATTTACGTGTTCCTGCAACATGAAGAAATCATCCGTTAGGTTGCAATTCATCAAGTTTTTTTTTAGCACAGATGCTTTAATGCTAACAGTCTGTCACCTATTTTGCTTTTAAAGAAGCATCATCCCAAGAAGCACACTATCATAGGGCTACAGTGGCATATAACACTAAGAAATAAATCTGAAGATTGAGCCCTTTCTTGCAGACATTAAAGAGTACATTCAATTTAATCCAGTTTGTTTTACCAAGGAAAAACGGGGTTAAATTAGTAGTGTCTTTGCTCAACAAAGATTTCCATCATCTCTCTCAAATCTTCCATCATAAAGATCTCTGTGAGCAGAGGTAGCACTTTATGGTGTGAAATAAATGTGCTAGTGAGGTAGGTTATAGTCTTTCTGATAGTGAGTGCATCTTGTAGTCACTGATTTGTAACTCACATGTGGTATAATGGTCTGTCACTGCAGCTGTTGTCAATGCACAGGAGAAAAATGTTGCTGGTAGAACCTGTAAAGCAGAGTTTTCTGGAGAGCAACAGTTTAGTCTTGTGCAAAAATTTGTGCACAAGCCACTGATGGACTCTTTGTAGTTGCTGCTTAACACCAGCTTGTTGAATTGTGGATTGGTTTGATATATAGTTTCTGTCAGTCAGCATCTCCTCACAAATATCACTTTGGCAACATATGGACCATGCACCGTGATGGAATCTGTTACCGTTGCAGAAGAGCACGGCATGTTAGTGTTTTCAGGTTTAAACACATAGTTACCCTAGTTTTGCTCTCTGGAAATAAGGTGTGACAAATAATTCTGTGTACAGCAGAACAGAAAGGGCAGTGTTTCCTATAATTCTGCATGTTAGTTTTCTAATATACAATGAGTAGCAATATCTACATTCCCCAGATGGTGGTACTTTTGGTGTCTCTTGCCTCAATGGACAGAATATTTTCTCCAAACTCAACCTCTGCCTGTTTACTCAATTGTCAAATTAGGTTGAAATTAGCTTAGTGCGTTCATAAGTCATTTTGGGGGTAGGTTCGGGACATGACTGAGAGGCAGAAGATGCAAGTGCCCTAACTTACACAGCTAAAAAAGTAAAAACAGGAGCAGACAGGAGGAAAATATCAAACAGACTATGCCAGGTGGCAGATCTTATCTTCTGGTTTGCAGTGGAAAGAAAGAATCGACTTCCAAGAGTGGATGACCATACATGAGTAGCGAGATAAGGCATGACTCATTGACCTAGATGCAGATAGTACAACAGTATAGAGAGTCTCTAGGAAAGCAGACCTTCTCCAAGCCCAGCCTCTCCCAGGGTCATAAACAGACAGGATCCCTGCAGCAGAGCTTTTTGGTGCCAAGAGTGACATTGCAATAACGTCAAAGCTTGTCTTCACTTATAAGGAAAAGCTGTTTCTTTCCTCTTTCAATGTCTAGAGACAGAAGCAGTACCCATCAGTTTCCTAAAACTTGAACACTCACTGGCACAGTACTCTGTTGATATATTTTAATGATTTTAACAGTTAATAGTAATTTTAGACTCTAGTGACAGAAGACATCATTCTCTGTGTAAATTTCATATATTTTTGTTATTGTTAAGAAGAGTATTTTGATTTGTTAATGTTTGGTATCACCCAGTTAAAGCGTAGAATTCAAAGCTGAGAAAAAGCAAAGGGTTTGCGAGTCCATCTGGAAGGGTAATTGATAAGCAAAAGAATAGACTGTCAACAGCCTGTAAGCTTTCTATCTTGAGCAGTCCAAATAGACAGTGGCGTATTAGAAAGCCTTTTGTCTATCCTACTTAGAAATTTTTTTCAAGATTTTAATAATTACGTTTTTCCAGCAAATTGAGAATAATAGGAAGATAATTATCTGTAACTAGTGCAGAAATCTGAAACAAGTTCCCAGGTACTATTTTAAACGATACAGTGTGATTTATAAGGCCATGCAAAATTTCATCACAACTTGAAGCAGGATGTTTTGGTGTTATAGATAGGTGATTTATAATTTGATAAAAGGCAGAAAAGAGGTTCTTGTTAGAGACTCGTGGACTGAGTGTCCGAGTTGAGAAGTAGTTTAGATATCTTTTAAAAAATCAGTAGATTTCTGTCCATCCCAATTACATAAAACCATTTTTAGCTCACATTGTATAAATTCCTTTGTTTTTGTAAGTAAGGTTTATTTCCATCATAAGGAAACATTAATTACAATTTAGTGTGATTATTTAGAAAGATCAAAATCTATTTTTTATCAATGCCAAGATTATTTTAGACCCTAATGTACTGCATGGTTATGCTAGGACATATCCTAGCATATTCTTGTCCTGCTTGGACAGGAAATGGGTTGGATCTAGTCTTTGTTAGAATGCAAATGTGAGAGAAAAGATAGAATAAGTTACAACAGCAAGAGAAGAACTTAAAAGCATATGAATAAAGTTTACCAAACACAGAATGCTAGCAAGTGTAATAAAGACACTCATTTTTAAGATGCAAAAACTCAATACTTCCTGTCTTACCTAAATTAGTTTGGAGAATGAGAGGCTTGTGTGTGAGGACAGCAAGTCCTTATTCAAATGCCATTCACTTCTTACAGGCAAATGAAGTCAGAGAGCCAAGAAATAAGTACTGTGCCCTTCCTTGCTTTACAAACTTAAAAGCTAGTGGGCAGTTCAATATCCAATGAGTGCTTTTTATAGGCTACATAAAGAAGATTACATCAGCTTCTGTACACAAGGCTTACATATTTAATTGCACAGTTCCTGTCTGCCTCTCTCTAAAGTCATACAATTTACCTGGGAGTAATTTGGTATTTACAAAAAAACCCCATTGAAACTCACACATGTGTACTGTTTCTGCAGCTTCCTGAGGGATGATAGTAATTTTTAATACATAAGATTATTGGAATATAATTTCTATGGCTATTAAGAGGTCTTGTTTATGAATGATAATTTAGTAATAAATCTTAGCTATACTACCCTACTTATACTGCTACTTATAGTAGCTTTTGGCAAAATACCACTAACCAAAAGAAAAAACCCAAACCCGAAACCTAGTGCAATAAAACATGTATCTTTTGCGTTCAGGCTGACAGGAGGTCATTTTCTTCAATTTTTTCTCCTGAAAGGAAGGTTTTCCTTCCTGTAAATAATTGTTTATTCTGCTATATATACTTTAAGACTCCATGCCAAATGAACATGGTAGCTGTAAAACACTCAGCTCTAAACCTAGATTGGCTTCCAGAAACTGTTAATATTTAAAATTTCTTTGTTGCTTTTAGAACATAGTAAAGTCACACCAAATAATGGGAGGGACAGTGTTATCAGCAACCAATTTTTCAGCTGTGTAACCCAAGGCTGTGATTCCTGTAGCTCAGTAATAACTTAGTTGCTTCACCTAAAGGAAATGAGATTCCACCTTAGCTGCGTGCCGTCCCCTGTGCACTTGTGCAATTTAGCAGAGCTTGGAGCTTCGAATATTGCTGCCATCTCCAAAGACAGAGTGATGGAGAGGAGATCTGTCTGCTCCTGTGCACGTGAGTAAACTCCAGCTTTCTGATTTTAGCACTTAGATACAACACCAGCCTTCCAAAGTGGTAATACTTGAGCGATATGCGGGAGCCCCGGGGTGTCAGTAAATAAATTCCTTTACTGGTTCACCAAACTGACCCATTTTCAGCTTAGGGTATACTAAGTGGTTCATAAGAAAGGGGCAACTTCTACTTCAGTCTCCCTTTCCCCCTCCAGAGCTTCACAGAATGTAATGTTTGCATTTTATTCAAGTGAAGTCTTCCCGTTGCTTGCAGAAAGAGCTGTTCTTAGCAGGGATGTGCAGGTGAAGCAGCATATAGCATAGAACATCTCAGTTCATTGCGTTTGACTTTGATGTTGGAACATCGTGAACTGCTCAAAGCAAGTGAAAGTTTACTTGTGTTCACATTCATGTACAGGTACAACATCCATACAGTTACAACGAAAATAGTATTGGTTATTTTTGTTTGTGTTTTGACATTTGGAGTCTTCACAATTGAGTTTTTTTCGAGTTTCCCTTGACCATATGAGCAAAAACAATTGAGCAGAACCGTGGCCTGAACCACTCGTTCTTTCAGGTTAAATGCACTGACACAGTTTATCTTGTGAAAAAGAGAAACAAAGCCAAGAACCATTCAAGCCAGACAAACTGCCGGCTTTCCAGCTGGCCTTAGTCCCACTTTTCTGCCTGTCTTTTCACCATGCCAGTGACCTGACCAAATCTCTCTGCAGGGGAAGAAACATTTATCACAGTATGTTCTGTGGGATTTCTCTTTGCAAGCAGTTTCTGCTGGTACATAAAAACTGTTTTGACTGGGTGAGTTGTTCTTTGTGAAACAGCACAACCCAAAAAAACTTTATTCTTTTGCATCCTTTTGTCTCCCCAACCTGTTTGTCCACCAGAAAATCTGAAGCTGTATCTCTAGAAAGTCCAAGAGGGAATAAACTGAGCCGGGATGAGCCTGACTCTTTATGCTGAGGAGATCTCTTAAATGCTGTATGTGGGACAGAAGTCAGACAGTATCACAACTCTATACTAGAATTGCTCACTCTTGCTAAAACAGTCATTTCAAGTATAAGTAGAATAAAGTCCTTTAAAGAGTTTGAGCCAAGTGATGCTTACAGTTTCCTTCATGTTTGAACTATGAAAAATCAGCTTCAAACTAATGTGGTTAGAGCAGGTTTTGCACTTATAAACTGAAGTTTAATTATATTTTTGTTGCATAAATTACAGAAAAAACATAAGAGACATCAGTTTAGTTAACTATTTGCTTGAAAACACTTGTAGGTGTTGAGTTAAACTGTTCATGTTTCTTATCAGAAACATTTTCTGTCTGTAAGGAACCTTTCTTGGTCTCTGATGGCTGTTATTACCTTACTTTTCTGTTTTGAGCATTGACAAAATTTTGAAAAAAATCCCTGGTTAGCCGCGCTTATGGTGCATAGATTCAATATACAGAGCTGTGTTATGCTTGCAAACCACATTTTTTTCAGAGGAAGGTACCTGGAAACTCTGCCCCAGTGCACTCTGACCCTTTATGGTGGCATAAAAACCTGAGCCAGCAATTGGTGCTTTGGACATATTTGAACAGATGTAGGGAGGACATTTAGCTTGTGGGACCTGAAATAAAATCCCCTGAGTTGCATATAATATAATACAATACTGCTTTAGCTCCTACTGGTTTGATTTATTAATCTGTTTTTGTTCTGCATGACTCCTTAGAAATGTCAACATAACCTTTAAGTTTTAGAAATGATCAAGTGCTAAAACAGAGCACTTTTAGACTAATCCAAAAGTGAAAGAGGAAAAAGCATTACAGCTTAGAGGTCTTGACGAGTTAGGAAAGCCAGAACAACTCCTCTACAAATTAAAACTGCTGTACTAAGGGGAGATTTGTTCTGAGAGTCAAACGGTCTTTTAGATTTGTGTATTTCTAATTAAAATCTCCAGTTCCCAACTTTTATTTCCAATTAGAAATTGGTCTGGGACTTGCCAGACAGATTAGGCTTTTTTTTTAAATGCTTACATTCACCGGCAGCTGAGATTCAATTCTTATTTTCCCAAGGGTTCTCAGTTCATTATACCAGTGAGTAAGATTGCAGCCACCGACATGTAATAACCCCACAGTTGATGAGCAGGCTACAGTGGAACTCACACAGTCAGCCAGCACCTGTTGTTAAGGCTGGCCCATCAGGCCATCTTTGGGAATGATCATATCTTGCCAAATAAATGATCAAATAGTTTCATTGGTTCTCCAGAGACTCGCTTTGTTCAAGGATTCCAAAACCTGCTGGCCAAAATATTGACATGCTCTTGAGGGCAAGACAACATTATTCTTCTGGAGAGTCCTAGGACATGACCACTAAAAGGGCACTTTCTGTGGAATCAAAAAACATTCCTGAAAATCGGGCTTTCTGCTTTTGGAAAGGCAGCTGTTCCAAAAAGAAGGTCTGGGGTTTTTTTTAAGAAAATCTTTCAAGACAGCTTTTCAAGACCTTGGTTGTCATTCACAAAGTTAAACACTAATCTCTGTTTTGTGCCCTCTGGTTTTGCTGGACATTGTTTAGCCATATTAATTTGGTGCAGAGAACAGCAAATTGATATACCATTCTCATGTTTATTCCTGTTGGCTTCCCTGGCATCTTAGGGTTACTACATGCTATAAGGACAATATTTTGGAAACCATCTTTCATACTTAATCACTAAGAAAATTCTCACTTTTAGTATTTTGAGGAACAAATAAGCCTCATACATGCCATTTTCTTGAATATAAATAAAAACTAGACAAGTGGCTGGTCTTGAACTCTTGGACCAGGATTGCAGGAAAGATAACTGCCATACCATTTTCAGCTGACTGCATGTTTTACAAACTTCTTCCCAGTATCTACCTTTTAAGCAGTATTTATGAACAGCAATGTAATGACAAAAAAACCACAACTAGTGCACAAAATAAGTGAAAAGAGGCAGTTTCACACCTTTGAAAGCAGGCAAAGAACGAATAAACCTGAGTTCAGAGGTGTGGGAAGGGAGACAAATCTCTTACCTGGATAGCTTTTTGACAGGAGTGTATCACCTCTGTTTTTGCACATTGGAATGAATGAAAGTCTTCAGTCAGGCATTGCTCTATTTGCATAAAGGATAATTATTAGCTAAATACTCCTCAAGGTAAGAATGAATAGTTATGGAATCTTGAACTTGCTGCTTGGTAGTGTATTGTCACTTGTATCGCTCTGTAAACTTGTATATATATGTAGCACTAGCTGAGGATTTGAGTTTAAATAATGCATAAGATTATTAATTAACTAACATCCAAAAATTATGCTGAGTTCAGGCTAACACATCTCTGACCTTTGAAGCTACTTCTCATCTGAGATTTGATTTGGTTTCTGCGTCCGCGTGTAGCATTAGCTTTTGATTTTACATATTCAGGGTGTATGAAGAGAACTGCAGTCTTGCTGGAGTGCACTTTGCAGGCTGGAATAAGTACAGTTCTGCTCAGTGCATAGAATGGGACTGCTGGAGGTCAGAGTTCCATTCCTACATGTCAGCACATTCAGATCACAAGATCTGTTGCTTCTGTGTAAACCAAAGACTGTAAAATGTAGGCAGATCAGAGGACAAAGATTGACTTTCTGTTCATTCTTGTGAGGTATATAAATGACCAAGTCCCCTCTCAGTTACCTTGGCTCTTTAGATAGGTGCAGACTATCCAAATGACAAATAAACATCCGTCTCCTCCTCTCAACAAAGGTGATATGTAATGTTTAATGATTACTAAGCAGTGCGGATTAACAGATTGGGCACAAGGCCACAACTCACAGGAACTGTACTACAAGCTAAGGTGTGAGAAGATGGGCATGTCTTTCAGCCAAGGAAGAAAACAAGCATGCATGCAATAAGAATCTGAAATGGGAGTTGCAAGGCCTGAAAAACACTGTGTTGCTGGCTTGCAGCCAGGTGCAGTGCACAAACATGATTACAGAAGGTCAGATTCCAACATTGTCTTTTATCCCAGTGCAGAACGTTGTTTTCTGCTCTTTAAAAATAAAAAGGAAAAATAAAAATGATGGAAATGAAAAGTCAAAACATACATAAGAGAGGAATAGAAAGGGAAGCACATCTCACCTCTGTGATGTTAAATTAGTCATGGCTTCTTAAAACTACTGGCTGTTACCAGGAACTCAGACTTGGTGACAGTAGTTGTGACATTCTAATACCAAAATCTTAAGAAGGTAATTCCAATCTTAGTAAAACCTTGTTTCATACCTTCTTATAGAAAGCCTTTTAAGCAGTCCTGTCCCTTTGCCATTGCTAAGGTAGCTCTTAATAAAAAGGGGAAGCAGTAGTACACTTAATCTGCATAATGAATTTTGCACACTGGTCACCAAGATAGTGTGTTTCTTTGGTCTTGTACACTACAGGATGGAAAATGTCTCCACTGACATTTTTCTGTTACTTTCATTACAGCCTTGCAGTATTTCTTCTTAAAGAAGACATAAACTCAGATGTCTCATATTTGTCCTTTCATCCATTTTACTGCCTAATTCCTAGAACCAGGAGTTATCTTCTCTAATAACCTCTTAAAATGTGCATGCCATTTGCTTCAGTACCAAAATAAGCTTGCCCACTCTGTTCTCCTTTGTATTTCCAATATTTGGAAGATCTGCACCTTCTGGTATTTGCAGTGCTGGAATTTGCAGAATAATTGGGTTTTCCCCCATGTAACAATTCTGAGACCTCTCTGCATTTCTCCAACAGCACTTTTCCCAATATCAGGCTCCTGAGAGAGAGGAGGATGTTATGATATCATTATCACTTGACTCCTACCATATAGAGTTGGTTGTAACTTTGTTTTGCCTAAAAGTAACACTCTCTGAAAATCTAAAAGAAAGAAATTTCAAATTATAATTTTGAAATATGTGAACATTCTTTAGGCACAGCACCATAAAAGTCAGGCTAAATATCTCTGGAGAGGACAGTTCCGCATGGGGAAAAAAAAAATTACTATATGAAGCAATCTCTCATTCTGCCCCTAGGAGTTGTGAAAATAATATAGTTTTGAAGAAATTACATTTTATGATGAACAAGCTTTACTTAGCATGCAGAAGTACTGACAGCAGAACTTTCATCAGTGAATTATGGAGATGGGAGCTCACACTCCGTTGCATAAAGTCATTCATCAAGGCTTCAGTCCAGCAGTAATTCTGAGTGGGCCGGTCCTGGCATCCTGGTTGAATTCCACTGACACTAACGAAAAAGGGCTAATTTCTAAAAGTACCATCTTTCCATGTCTAATGCTCAAGTGTGCAACAGTGGTAATTGGCCAAAATAACCAAAAGACATATTGCAATGAAACACCTATCTCTAAGAATAGGAACTGTGTTAGAAAAATGATAACCATTGACTGGTAATTGTGAGTTTACAGATGATTTTCCTTTGTGTGACTTACTATATGTCCTTATGAACAGATGCACAATCTTAACTGGATTAAGAGCTGCAAAAGATTAAAAGCAAAATCAAACAGAGGTATTTATGAAAGAAATATTAGAAAGAGATAAAATGTATTTGTTGACACACAACTGAGGATTTTAGATTATTTCAGAAAAATTTATGACATTACTACATACAATTCATATCTGGTAACCTAATTATGTACTTTAAAAAATAATGCTAAATTAGTCACACAGGGAAGGTTAATCTTAGAACAATAAAATTGTAGTTAAAATTGTTTGTTTACTGGGCCACAACAAATAACATCAAATCTTCAAAAGTGCATAGTCTGAATGTAATAGCCTTGTTCTTCCTTCTGTGCACATGTCTGAAGTTCATAAATTCTGTGAATTAAAAATCTTAAGCCTAATGCCTGCATTATTTAAAATGCCCTCAAGCCTCAATTAGTCTGTAATTTACCTTGATATCATAGTGACCAGGTGTGCGCTTAAAAAGCATTCATTTGGTTGCTATTTAATAGGAAAGATGGGCACACTGAAGGTAATCATCCACTCTTTTCAAATCCCGTATGCACTCCACCTAATATTCCTTCTCTACCTGTGGCAAGTGTCCAGTGCAGCTTGAAATGACATATATGTGGGGAAAGACATGTTACTGGTTTTTTTAAAATGAAAAAAATCTTATGTAGTCTCTGCTGCAGGAGAAACTCTGAGATCTGCAAAGTTCAGTGCACATTTATGTATTCAAAACTGAGTAAAATAAAATCTGCTTCACTGTGCATCCCTCTATCTGTTTCCCACTACAAACACAGAACCAATGGATTAGCACTTACCAAAGGCACAGAATAGCTGCCGTAGTTCCACAACAGTTTTTCTATCAGCACTCAGTAGCACAGTACCTCAGGAGCACAGCTTTCTAGAAGAGTAGATTAGAGATTGTGTCATTATCCAGTTTGGGTCTTTCCAAGTCATTATCAGTCCAATGGTGTTTACAGTGAGATAACATAAATAAATAGTAGCACTGGAGAAATCTTTGTCCTGTAGTAGGTAATCACAGGTAAAAGATAAATTTTTAATCATTATACATTACAGGCACTACTGGTCTCTGACTTCTTATTCATCCCTACTATTTGGCTTTAATAAAACTGGTTGCACTATGTGGACCTCAAACAGAAGTGCAGTGCTGACTTAACAATTTCACAAGTTTTGAATACTTATTTCAGTTGGCTTAAAAATTACTCCAGTGTGTTAAATGAGATTAGGGCAGGTGGTGCGTGGAACTGTCCTTAGACTCAGTTGTCCATGATAGTGAATTAAGTCCTTTGAAAAAGGATTTTTATTAAAATAAATCATGGAGGGGGCTTAACTAATAAATCTTACATTTAGGAAGACTTTACATACCATCAACTGACATTGAGTGTAAAATGTCTGCCTTTTTCTGCCTCATAAACAAAACTGCCAATTGTTTCATCCCTAAACATCCAGAACTGTGGAACTGAAGCCTGCATAATGATGAGTATGAACATTGCTACTTGTATTTGTAAATCTTAGAGGCAAATTTAATGTAGCAAGGGTAGTCTCTCTTTACAGAAAATAAAGATGTGATCATGAAGGAGTGATAATAACAGAACTGTGAAATTAAAACAGTTAAGTCAAGTATGTACCCCGGAGGCTCATTACTGAAGGTACAGTAGGAGGCTGTGTGCTTGAATTAGAATGCTGCATGTGTACAGAGAACAGTTCTGCTGCTACTTGGAAAGAAAAGTCCACTGCCTGCTTTCCAAGGCAGTGCCAAAAGGAGTTATGTGCTTGAAGCAAGCTAGTTTTAATATTTGATCATAATTTCTCTTCCTTGTGCATCTGAAAAGTCACTCTTCAATCTTGATTATGGATTTAGTTACCCTATCCCTTCCTTTCAAAACTTTTGCATATAGATGACATTATTTGGAGTTCCATCACCAAGAACAACATGAAACCACAATGAATATTTTACTCGTAGCCAGTTTATGCTGAAGTAAATAATATTCATACATCAAATTTCATCAGAAAGGTGTCCTCTAGCAGCCCAGCTCATGTACCATGACAGAACCTTTCTTTCAGTCACTTGCAGAGCCTTTAAATTTGTAGTGAAGAAGCAGCCAAAAAGCATTTTCTGCTTCTGGATTCATCTTACCATTATTTATTAGTTCCCTTTACAAAAAAATGTGAACATCTCAACAAGGGATGACAGGGTCTCACAACACTCTGAATTGTCCATGCCTAGGTGATCTGATTGGCTATGCTCGCATGTCTAGAGAGGCCAGATATTAAAATAGCTTATACCTTTACCTAAATTGCTTCTATAGCCTGTTTCCTCTTTTACCTCTTGAATTTGTTTTAAAGGAGGAGGAGGGTGTAGGGGGGAGAAGAGATGCAACAGTCTAACCACATTTTCCGAGGCTAACTCACCTCAGCACAGGAAGCTGTTGGTGCTTTGTCTGCCTCTCTCTCTCTCTCTCTCTGTCTTCCCCCCACACACAGCACGCTCATTGCTGAAAGAAGGACTATGCTCACAAAAGCAGACTGGGTAAGAAATGGAAAATGATAGGCCGTGATTAGCATCGGCTTGAAAACATCCATTGTTTGCTCACACTGCTGTGCCTGTGAATTTTAGCCAGATCACAGCAAGGATTTTGTGAGTTGCTTTGCAAGGTGAAGCTCAAATAATGCTGATTTCAAAGAGGAAAGAAGCTTATTAAGATGCTGTATAAATCAAAGTCAATTCTATTTTTATCTTTTTAAAAAAATAAAAAGATTCAGCTGGATGCGCAGCCTCCTGGCTGGCCTGTAGAAGAGGCAGTGATTTCCAGTAAATAACAGACGATGATGCATTCTCCATTTTCGAAGCCAGTTCGTTCCTAAACCACAAAGATTCATACCCGTCCTTTTTGCGCATGTGCCGTGCTGACTGGTCGTGTGGATGGATTAACTGTGACAAGCTGTGACATCAGCAAGGGCTGGATGTTGCCTGGCTGTGTGGTTTTGTAATGCATCCTCCCATTGCTGCTGGGCTGACTCATTCACATTATAGGGTGAGTGAATTACGGGTAGTGTGAGCCAGCACAGACCGAAGTCTTCGGCGTTGCACTTCCGTGCAGGAGCTGTGCCCTAATTGTAAAGCAAGCAGATTTTCAGTCCCTGCTTACACAAATGTTATAGCTGAGGAGCAAATGCAGAAAAATATTAAAGCTAGTAAATGAACACAGAAGTGTTAAAATATGCCCATTCTTTAGTGTGATCATGGTATTTTGGGATATGGGGATTTCACGGGCAGGAGCAGATTTACTTTACGTGATCATAGGAAGCAAGAACGAGTGGAGCAAAAATATGGTAGAAGCAGCTCTAGTGTGAATGTGTACTATATTGTTAGTTTCCACTCAATTCAGAAGGGGGAAGTGTTTTTTTTTTTTAATAACCCAGGAGCTTACTGATTTCTTAGTTATTTATTAATGATCTTGTACTTAAACCTGAAATACCAGACAAGTAGGATTTTTGGTTGACATTGAGGAAACCTGTCGAGAACTGCCAAGAATTCAGCCTCTGGAAAGGTGAATACTGGTAAGGGCTATTCTGCCCTCCATATACTCCACATTTCCATAGTGCTCACAGTCCCTTAGGAATCTTCTTTTAAGGTCCAGAGGTTTTTAAAGTACTCAGCAGAACAAGAAGCTTATGTAGACAATTGGTGGGTTTGGAGCAAAAAAGGTCTTTTTAACAGCATGAACTTTAAACTGGCTTCATTTCATTACTCATAGCTGCAAAAAAACCCCAAGGAGGCAGGATCCTTTTGTGTTATAAGAGGTACTTGGAGGGCAACAAGTTACCGTCTTGGAAAAAGTAAACTTGCTGACATTTTCTGTCTAGAGGTTTTGACATTTTGTAGATGCTGATGTGCTTCCCTGTCCATTCAACAGCCTGTTCTCCTGGCTAAAAAATGAGATGGGTACTTCTGAAGACGGTTCCTTCTGGAGAACCTAGGAGCAGCAAGAATTTGTGCAAGAACAGCACTTGTGCCTGTTCTGGATTCTAGAAAGGTGGTAAGCAAATCCTTGGGACACTGTATCCAAGGATGCTGCTCATAGTAGTCACTTACTGCAAGAACTTCATTTAGTCTTGAGAGGGGGAATTAAATTATCATGCATATTTACATTCAACAGAACAACAGTGACTGTGTTACCATTGGTCCACATCCTGGACCTGGACACCATGGACAAGAGAGTGTATGTTTGCAGGAACCCCCTTACAGGGGCGGACAAAGGTGGTCTAAGCATCTCTGTTGAATGAATAGTGGTATGTAATATGATCACTATCTCAGACACCACAGCAGGGTAGTATCTTAGGCTGCACTTTCACTACACTAAGATTGTAACACAGAAAGCCTTCTGTGGAGCAGGGTCTTTTTTAAGCCAC